CTCTGGGGTTCTTAAAATTTCTTTATAACAAAGGTTATGCTGGTACAAGTTCTCGACGTACAGTCCAACTCCTGACAATGTTCCTTCTCGAACTTATGCCCTCGACATCAAGTATCAATGGCATATTCTATCTTCATTCACGATGCTTCTCGACGCACTACTTCGTAGTTATTCTCGAGATATGGGTCTCTCACCTTTTGATCTGAAGCGTACGCCACAGTCTCCAGTAGACTCCTCATTTTGACGGTCGATGCATCTTAACTGTTACTAATGCCATATATTTTGAGACTAGTGGGAATCTCTACTACGTTTCTTTCCCGATTCTCCCAATGAGCGGGCCATTTGTCTTAATACTTCCTTGGAGCACATCGAGGGAGTCATCGTGCAAGGTCTTCTCGACTGAAGTCTGAGTTAATGACATGAATTGCAGTCTTCTAATAGACTATTCGTTCTAGCAGCCGATGTACCTTCTGAAACTGTTGATCACACGTCTCCCTAGTCAGAGTAGTGGGAATCTCCACTACATTTCTTCATCATCTTCTCAAGCAACATGACATCTGCTTTAGTATCTCCGTGGGGCAGATTGTTAAGATCATCACATGCTGATTTTTCACTCGAAAGTTTGAACTGACGACTCTTCTTTCTTGTACGTGCTAATGCTTTTATTGCTTTGATTTCTCCTCGATTCTAACCTGTCACAGGTTCTCGATTCAAGTCAGTTCTTCCCGAACTTGAAACTATATACTTTATATTATCAAGTCTATCCTATCTCCAGACTTCGAAGTATAGGCTTGATAAGGGGTACTTGACGAGTCCAGATTGATACGGCCCATCACTAGGCCGGCCCAAGTTCGGCAAGCGGTTCAACCAACCCCTGGAAGCTTCCAGGGCGGTTGCTAATTACTTTCCTACCAAGAAAAGGGTTTCATAAACAGGTAACCCTAACTCTATAAATAGGGATCAACCCCTCACATCAAAGGGACGCTCGACGCATCACCATTCATACTCTTATTACGAATACTCTTACTGACTTAAGTATCGGAGTGTCTACCCTCGGGAGACCCCGAGGCCTTCTTTTGCAGGTTTTAGGGTTTTGATACCGCCATGGCCGCCGATTCAATCAACTGGAGACGTCGGTGCAGACTCATGATTCGTCACAACCCTCTTATAAATTATTACTATATGAGTAAGACAGAGGTTGGATGCGAAATAAAGCTGATCAAATTTGGTGTTGGGTACAACTAGCAGTGTAGCAGTGTGGTGTTCTCAATCTTTCTTTAAAAGTTTAAAATCCTTGATGGAGGGCCATGACATGTACACTGCTCTTGAATTGCAGCTCCAGGTAGGTCGTTTTGGCGATTTTAGTGATCGTGATTTCCTCACTCTTATGCCTAGCGCAGAGGAATGCTCAGAATCTCGCAGGCGGGAGAGCTTAACTTTATCGGGTACATACAGGGGCGGAGACACATATATGATTAGTGGGGCAATTGCCCCAGTTGATTTTTTTTTTTAGTTATTATCCCTTAAAATTTGAGGTACTTTCTTAAGAAAATTAGATCTTACCCCACCTAAATTAATAATATTAGGGGCAAACTATTAAATTAGTAGTATTAAAAATTTTGCCCCATCACTTCTTTGGGGCCTAGCTCCGCCCCTGGGTACATATCTGTTGAGAGTTTTTTGGTATGCAAAATTGGTAGAGGTTCCAAACCTGTTACCTCCGCCTTCAGCTCAAGGCAACCTTTTGGTGTCACTAAACTGTGTAATGGACTAGTTGAATATAGGTAGTCTTGTATTCAGCAAGAGAACTTGGGTGAAAAACATGAGTCAACTTGGTCCTCCCGGAAGGGTTTTCAAACGGGGATCTGACGAAAGTGGCTGTCAACATAGACAGAGAGGAATTTCCCTTGAAAAAGATCGCCACAGAGTGGGGCATTAAATGTTACAGGACTTTGCCGCTTTTTGAATGAGAAGATTGTCATTCACAAGGGTAAAGTTCTATTATGGAGTACAAAATAATCGTATTAATGTAATTTCAACACAGTTTCATCGAGAGTTACGATTAGACGGGGTAGAAGAAATTTTTTCAGAAGGAGCGGTCTTGTTGCGTGGAGTAGATTACGAGAGTATACTCTGGGTTCCTTGCATTTGTGAACTTTGGGAATATCGCGACAACACCTGCATTTCGTCAAGGATTGCTCATTTGTTTCACCAATGGCCGCGGTTCCATTGGGATGAGGACTACCATCAGTTTGACTTGGATTGCGTAAATTATCGGGTACAGAATGATAAACGTTGGGTTGGAGGAGCATATTTACTAGATAAGCTCTGTTATTTGAGAGGTTCAACTAAATCCGGCAGCATCTCTCATCACCCTGTTCCTACTGTTACATTTCGTGTCCCTGAGTGTCGGGTTGCGATTCCCATGAAATCGATTCATTCCAAGCTTCCTCCTTTGGTGTTAGAAGTCAACATGTACTTGAGACGTCCCGAAGAGTTTTTTTGAAGAGTTTTTTTAGAAGTCAACATCTTTGGGCTCAAGGCATGAAGAGTTTTTTTGATAGGTCGCAAGTTCTGGCGCATTGTTACTGGAGAAATTGCTAAACCAAAAAGGGAGAAGGACGAATCTGATACCAAATTTGCCGACCGGCTTGAGGATTGGGATAGTAAAAATCATCAGATCATCACATGGTTTCGTAACACCACTGTCCCATCAATCCATGTCCAGTTCTCAGATTATGAATCAGCAAAAGAAGTTTGGAATTTTTTTTTTTGGCTCATCGTTTTCAAACTACTGGACTTGCACACTGCTATCATCTGTGGGGCACCCTTCACAGTCTAAAGCAAGAATCTGGACAATCTGTTAATGATTTTCTTGCCCAAGTTCAACCTATTTGGAATCAACCATCTCAAATGAAAATCAGCGAACATCATCTTCGTCTCATTCAGGTTCTCATGGCATTAAGGCCTGAATATGAGGCAGTCATGTATTATTATCTTTTGTTATTATGTATTAATCGGTTTCTGCTAATAAAAAAGTTTTTTTTTTGTTTATTAAATGGTTACAGTCATGTATTTAGCATTCTATCGAATCAACAACAATAAAGACTAGATAAGATCAAATCAATCTAATTCATTACTAGATCAAATCATATCACTAATATGCTGATCTATTCCTATAATTACGCTAACACCCCCCACTCAATCTCAAGTTGGTACAACTTGAGGTTGCTTAATGGAGCGCAATAGAGAATCGAGCATCAGAGTCAAAGTGGAACTAAGGCAAACATGAAAGTGGTGGAGCACCATGTATCAGACAGATATGAATGACAGCGGCAGAACATCGAGCAAGAGAGACGGGCAGAGGCAGAAGCAGAGGCGAAATCGGGCGCTGTAAATGTTGTTTTGATTCCATTCAGCCGCTTTAAATGATGGAGGTCAGCAGCTTCAAAACCATGAATATTCAAGGAGTGAAACAGAGCAGCAGCCTCCATCACTTGATCAACAACCACCAACTGCGGAAGCTACTGTTCATCCCAATGCGCAAGGAGACATGGCTAAAACATCCAAGGGAGTTAAAGTCGGAATCACCTTAGCCATGATTGAACAATATTACGGCAGAAATCTATCAGATGCTGCTGAAGGACTTAAAGTGATCTTCAAAATTCTTTCATTTTCTTCTGTCTTACTAGTACATGCCTAGTTCCTTTTAGTTTTCCTAGGCCTTCTTATGTTAGAATTGCTCTGTCATGTTCGTCTTTGCAGTTAGTCGTTCTACTGTGAAACGTATACTTCGTGATCATAATATACCAAGTGGCCATCGCACAAGAGAAAAGAAAAAGGCCACGTTCCACCAAATCCAATTACCGCAAGCAGATCTATTGAGGTTGGTGCAGAAGTTGTCCAAGAATCTGAGATTGAATGCTGTCCCAATATTGGTGAAACAGAGAAAAGGGCGGAGGCTGGGGATTACATCCCCAAAAGTTCAAGGGGTAAACATCCAACAACGGAATGTGACGAAAATGATGTTAGTTACACCATGGTTGTGAAGGCAACATTCAAGGGCGAAACGGCGAAACGGGATTGAAAGATTGCGTGGAGAATTGGACAAAAGGTTCGAGTTTAAACAAGAAAAGTTCAGATTCAAGTACAAGGATGAGGCCGGTGAAGAGATCGCCATATTCTGTGATGAAGATTTGCAGGGTTACATGGCAAGTTTGAAAAAGAGGGGGAATACTGATATGAGGCTGACAGTTTATTTGGTGGCCTAGTAATATTTTAGTTTAAACCTTCCATTTTGAGTTCCATTGTTGATTACAATCTGTTGAGCATTTGTAAGATCATTTCTTGCATACTTGTCTTAGCTATCTTTCTAAATTCCAAAGCTAATATATTACAAACATCACGATTTTATAGATTGCAAAAGAATTGTGCAAATTAATGAGCATGGATGGATTTAAGGCATCTATGATGGAAATTATTATTATGCCTTTAAGCAAAATCATAAGTACACCTCCAATTACACCACGACATCCATTTCCGACACGAACAGCAATTGAACAGGGGAGCCATGAACCATACATAATTCATAGCAGGGCATCATCAAATGACTCTGAACCAAACTTGTTCAGTCTAAGATTGGCAAAGGCTTGCTTGGAAAGACATTGAGGAAGATGTGCTTTCTAAGGAATATAAATCAGCACTGAGCTTCCTACCCTGATATTATAAGCTTTTCTTCTATCCCAACAGAAATGTGATGGAAATGTAGAGTTTCTATTTTAGTCATTATTGTACACTACCATATAATGTCAGTTTCAGATCGAGGCAAAATGAGAAGAAAAACATACGTGAATTGAGGAGAGGATTTATAAGGTTCTTTATTTCTTCATAACCTAAAACAAAACAACTTTTGAGACTACATATATTAACTCTTATTACACACTCAAATGTAAGAACTACTAATTTGGGAGTAGTTTATTGGATTAAAAAAAAAAAAACTACTAGATGTTCTGCTGTTGAACCCTTCTCTCAGCGAGAATGCGCTGGGTTGCATTGTAGTACATTGCGTAAAGCACCAACTGGATTAGCCCAAGGGCAGCTCCAATCAAATTTGGTACCTATAAGTCATTTTAAAGAGAAATATATATATATATATATATATATCACTTAATGTTTTCAGAGATAAAAATATTTAGTAGAAAGAAGAAACTTTTGAAATTAAAAAATCTTACAAATATGTCGAGGTCGAATTTAAACAGGGCATAAGCAGTCCAACAGACACCATTGGCAAAAGAGGCCAGTGAAAGGAACAATGGCATGTACTCCACGCTTCTTGTTCTGATCACCCCTCCCTGCAACAGTGAAACCCTACATTTTTTTCTTTTCAGAAATTCTAATAATAGTAATCAAATCAGATTCCAGTTATCCCTTCATTTTTAAAATTTTCATTATTTCGTTAATATCAATTTCGACCCAACATCTCTCCTGACTTTTTTGGCAAATATTTTGACCCACACTTAAAATTATCAAATTATTTGGATATTGTACCCACTACTATCCAAAGTCATTGCTCCGATCAATCTAGATTCGAGTAGTTTATTATTATTATTATTCAAACATCACAATGGCAATAGATTGACAGTTACCAAAAAAAAAAAAAAAAAGAGAAAAAAGAAACACCAAAAGATTGATTCGAAATTACCATTACGGAGAGCGGAGCCCCGTACATGATAATGTTGCGGACCATGCAAATCGGACCAACAATAGCCGACCGGAGTTTGGTGGTGTGCGCTAAGTTGAGCACCAGAACGGCGAGCGCCGCCACAGAGACCAGCTCAGCCGCCACGATGGCGGCCAGCTTCATCTTCCTCTGTCTAGTCTGGCAAAATGTGATGAACAGGGCAATGTACACCGCCTCAATCGCGAATCCGGCGCCGTTAATCGTGATCACTAAGAGGCTCTTTGGGTGCACGAAAGGACAGCCGTACGGCACCCACAAAGCGCAGTTGATGAATGTGGCCAGGTACGGCACTGGGGAGTACTCCTCCACGGATCCCCTCCATATCTGTATGAATGTTGGCCTGGAAAATAAAAACCAAAATGATCAGAACCTGAGAGAACGAGTAAAACATAAAAGAATGAAAATCAGATACATTAAACTTCTGGGGGAAATGGAGAGATGGACGGTACTCTTACACTGGAGATAAGAAGAGGAGGAATGCAATTGAGTTTCCTGAGGAGTATCAATTAAAAGAGAAATTAGAGACGAATAAACCGAAGTATAAACTAACTTAAAATGCAATGAAACATTCAGGGAAATGAAGAACTCGCATACCTATGATTCCGACAGCAGTTCTAATGGAATCCATTGTTCAATTACGGATGCTTAGTAATTGATCACGGAAAAATTGGATGAATGTTTGGTTTTAAAAAGGTGAGAGGTTCAAAATCAGGTATGAGAGAAAGAATGGATAATTGGCAAATGATTAACCGGGACAACGATTTACTGATTCAAATGCACAGTTGAGGATCATGAAACAGGGCATATGTATGATGAACCAGACAGTTTTTCTTTTCGAGTCACCTAGTGATCTTGCAGTTATATCATCTATGTTAATTTACACTCCAACATCAGCAACATTAGCTGGGTAGTTTGTTACAGTAATATCTCATGAATCAATCACAACATTTGTTTGGTCCCGTAATATCTCCGGCAACATTAAACTGGTGCTCTTCTCTACAAAATAGCACATGCACTAATTGAAAAATACACAAAAATAAAAAAACAAAAACAAAATGACATGAGCATTGTGGCATGAGAAATCAAAAGTGTGAGCGAACGGAACACCATGTTATCGGAATTTCTAAGCCACATTCTTTAGTTGATTATATTTTGTATTGCCTCTTTTTTTTTTTTTTTTAAATCAAAACAAAATAGTGACTTCGGGGGAAAAAAAAAGAGGCAGAGTAGGCTTTACAGAAATCAAGTTTTCAGTTTCTGATTTAGTGCTCCTTTTTGGCCATGATAACAGGCTGAGAATTGAGCCTGAGATTCAATGAAATGCTCCCAAGGTCCTAAGGGAGTGGATTAGGGGGGGAAAAACATTATTATTCCCAGTGAAGCTGCAGTCGTGAATCGTCAGCGCTTCCTTCCCAGTTCCCACTTCCCTCACTGGTGTTTCTGGGAATTCCCACCCTAAACTGTTATTCTAAATAGTACTAGAACTTAAAAGGACTTTTATGTACAGCTTTGTAAATACTAGGAAGAGTTTGCATATATTAGCTGAGTTTGAACATTACAAATTAACTACAGTTGTTAGTTAGGATTAGTTGGTTAACGGGTTATATATTAAGGTTGAAAAACACCATTAGCTTGTGATTAACGAAACTGAATAACAAATACTCCATCTATTCTAAAATTATTGTCCAGTTTAGGATTTTAATTTTAGAACAATTTAAACTAGAAATGAAAATCAAAACTGGACAATAATTTTGGGACGAAGGTAGTAGATTTTTCCCCAAATTCGTCTCAACTCTGTTGTCTTCTTAACATTCCATGACTGAAGTTCTAGGTCTTCCCAGAGACACACGAACCATTCAAAGGTAATTTCAAACTATTCTCCATTTCTCCTAGAAATCTATAATTGGAAGGGTAACACTGAAATGGATGCCCAAGTCTAACAAATCCAATCTGGAACACTACAGATTCAGAGATAATATGGAATTTTGAAACTGTCGACAACGTTTTCTTCCAAGCAATTTTAGTGTAATACAGAGAGTACCATTGTCATATGTGAGAATAATTACTGTAGTCTGTTAAAATTCCTTTATATTTAAAAAACAAGTGAAAGACACTTGTTCCACATAGGAGTTGGGAAGCCTACTTGATCAACATATATATTCCATATGCTACTCACTTCATTGCCAATTGGTTTTGAGGTGGAACCACATGTGTGCTTATATGGGTCTTCAAAATAGTACCAAAGCGGGTTTTAATCCGCGCACCTGTGGGACTTGTGGGACGAGGTCCACTAACCCAGATTGGATCTTGAAACTTTGACCAACCCACGGAAAAAATGCATGGTTTGATTTTGAATTTTGACTGGCCCGATAGGTGACGGTTTATCCGGAAAAATAACCGATCGCAAGACTGAAAAAAATCAGAAAAAATATATAAAATTACCCGTCCAAGCCCTTTGACTGGCCCGGCAGGCGACGGTTTATCCAGAAAAATAACCGATCGCAAGACTGAAAAAAAATCAGAAGAAAATATATAAAATTACCCGTCCAAGCCCATTGAGCTTGAGAGGGGCGTGTTAAATGAATAAAAAAAAGAAAATGGTCTCATGTTCCTTTGTCCCACATGGATGGAAAGAAACACTTGAACTCAACATATATACCCCATGTGTTACTCCTCTCATGTTTTAATCCGCGGACTTTGTGGGTGGACTTTAACCGATCTGGTGGTTTCTCCTGTTTGACTTTACCCATATTAGGCTTTGACTGACCGAGCACTATATCCGAGGACTTTGACTTTACCCGTATTGGGCTTTGACTGACCCGACAGTTTATCCGGGGATTTTGACTTACCCGAATTGGGCTTTGATTGACCCGACAGTATATCCGAGGATTTTAATTTACCCGTGTTGGGCTTTGGATGTTCAAAGGGGCCTTGTCCAACCCCTTTGGGCTTGAGAGGGAAGTGTTAAAATCCCTTTGAACTTGAAAAACAAGTGAAAGACACTTGTTCCACATTAGAATGGGGAAGTTTACTTGATCAATATATATACCCCATGTGCTACTCCCTTCATTGGTAATTAGTTTTGAGGTAGAGCCACATGTGGGCTTATATAGGCCTTCAAGATAGTCTATAATTCGCCGGTGAAAGTTCTAAAAAATGTTATTTTTTGTTTAAAGTATTTTCATTAACTTACTATTCTACTTGAAGAACTTGATTACAAAGTCGACGACGTTCAAAAAATAATATTTTATATTATTCTCATAATTTTTTTTGTGATTTACTTATCGTGTCGAGTTTCCATGACTCATCTCGAAGTCGACATGGAATGGATGTAAAACTGTGCATTCCATTCTCTACTAAGTCATTGAGTTCCATATCCCAGCTAAAATTTATAAGCAATCTAAAAACCTACTTAAAAAAAACTATTGAGCTTTATAATTCAAATAATTACTTTGCAATAAATATTCCTTTATTGGCAATATCAATGTAAAGATCACAAATAAAAATTTATTGTTCAGATTTATTTCATTAAGTTGTTCGTCTTTTTAAAATTTAATAAGAAATATAATAAAAACCAAAATACATGATTTTGTATCGTTTTCAAGAAAATTTGATGATAGTACAGTTAATTTTCACGTCAACATTCCATTTCTAATGTGAAAGCCGACACAAACTGAAGATGATACTGTGCTTTCCATTTTCTATTTGGTTATGTTATTACAAAATCCGATTAAATTCCAGACACTATCTAGAAAATTAATTAAAAAAATTAGCTGTTGAATTTTATAATTCATACTATAATTGCTTGTAATATTATTTTATTGAGTGAACTACATAACATGTCATCGAACTATTGAATAATTTCATCACATGTTATTAATTAAAAATAAAACAAGATCATAAGCTAAAAATTCATCCGAAGTTATTCTATTACTTTTGGCTGTTAAATTATTACTGAAAGTTATTTTTTACCTCCAAAATATGTGACTTGGATCAGTGACAATTTCATCGTTTTATATTTTTTTTAAAAAACTTGTTTTTATTTTATTTTTGATGAACTATCGATCCCCCACGGTCCCACGACCGGCAAACCTTTGGGGGAAATGATTTCCTTTCAAAAGTAATTGTGGGTGGTGTTAGCGTTGACCAGAGAGTATCTTTGACAAAATTGGAAGATGGTAGCCAGCGAAAAGTATTGAATCCAAAATGTTAGCACATGTGTGCAAACTTTCTGATATTTATGCAAGACTTTCTTTGCTCATCTGAATAATTTATTTTGGGACATGTGGGCATTGCTGATTCGTCTCGTTTTTCCATCAAAATAATTCTCCTTCGCTCAATTCCTATGTTTGGAAGTTTTTTGAATGTGTTTTTTTGTATTGGAAATGTAAAAATGTATATTAGAAATATAAAAAGGTATATTAGAAATATAAAAAAGTGCATTGGGAATGTAAAAATGTATGATGTGATGGGATAGATATTAATTAAAAATTCTGAAAAAATTAACCAAAAAAAGAACCAAAAATAGTCTTTCACCCATATTTTCAGCACCTATTTACGTTTTTAACAATTTGATTTTTAAATCTCTTTGCTACTAAACACCCTAATTAAATTTTCCTTGAGCGCCCTAATTAAATACCAAATGACCATTTTGCCCTTACATGATTTTATAAATTAAGAGTTTCAATTTCATTCTTTCAATTCCTAAATCAATCTTTCATTTCAAATTCTCTCAATCCAAACTCCTAAAAACTTAGATTCAATGGCTGATCGAATGAAACGGCTACGTAAAGAGCTACGGAAACTGAAGGTACGTAAATTTGGATTGTTTTTTTGAATTTGAATTAGTAGGAGTATTTATAAAAAAAAAAAAAAAACCAGCGCCCCGGCCGGCGAGGGAGAACCGCGCCGGGGCGTGAAGGAGTGGCGCAGAAATCTGCGCCACTCCTTACAGAGCTGGCGCGGATCTGCGCGCCAGCTCTGCACGCCCCGGCACGGTTCTCCCTCGCCGGCCGGGGCGGTAATGGCGCAATTTTCTTCGCCGCCGGACGCTGGGGTGGCGAAGAAAAGTCTTGCCAGGCGGCTTGCGCCTGGCGAGAAAAACCGGCGCCGGCCGGTTTTTTTTTTTTTTTTTGTTAATTTGTTATATTATATATTTAAATTTAATTGCTATTTATAAATTGTATAGTAATTGTAATTTAATTGTTACTATTAGTAATTGTAGGTCTTATGAAATTTAGTTAAATTATTTATTATTAGTTAAATTTATTAGTTTAATTTATTTAGGAAACACTATTATTAAAAGTATATGTTTAATCTTCTGTAAATAAATTAGTTATAATACTTTTGTAGTTTTAGGGAGTTTAACGGTTTTTAAATTAAATTGGATCATTAAAGTTATTATAAATATAATTATAGAAAATATATTTATTGGATTAGTCAGTTTAATTGTAATTAACCTAAAAAAAATATCAAACATAGAAATTAAATACTTAGTATAGGAAAATTAAATAAATAAGTTCCAATTTAAAAAATACAGGAGGTTAGTAGATAATTAGGGTTAATAAAAAATATTTATTTAATTGTGGTTAAAATTAAATAATAAATTATATATTTATTTAATTTTGGTTAAAAAATGAAAAAAATAAATATGTAGATATTATTAATTGTACTTAGTAGATTTAATAAATTGTACACTTAAGATGTATAGTAGATAAGTTTATAATTACGTATTTAAATAATATAAAACTGTATTAAACTAATTAATCTAAGTTATGTGTAAAATTTGAAACTTTTGTAGGATGGGATATCGCCTCTTGAGGGATCTGGACATCGGCATGCAGTTACGCGCAATCTGTATGCCGAACATCGAGCAGAAAAAGAAAAAAAAGTTAAAGAAAGTGAAAAATGTACATCCTACGTTTGACCCACTTGGTGAGTCAGCTAACGTAGACGATGATGATGATGATGATGATTTTGAGGGAGAGGAATCATCAGAGGATAGGTTTGAGAGTGGGGGGACGATGTAGATGAGGAGGATGACACATCCGAGTATTCCTTGCATGTGAGGAGGGATATACATATTACAGATAACTCAGTACTGAACCCCATTGGTCGTACTGTTGATCAGACTCCAGTTCACCCTACCCGGGAGGGGAGGGGGAAGTCCCTTGTGGGATTATCAGCCACGAATTCACTTACACTCCGGTGGTTCCAGTGTTCGTGTCGGCCACAGTAGTACTCTTTTTAGAGGTCAGAGTACTACTCTTCAGCATGCAGGGGCACAGAGTACTCTTTTTAGAGGTCAGAGTACTACTCTTCAGCATGCAGGCCCGCAGAGTACTCTTTTTAGAGGTCCCCCTCTGACTACTCAGCCTCGTTCCCGTGGCGCATCCATTGGTGCCTCTATCCGTCCTGAGGCAGCTGCATCGTCATCAGGTACGTATTTGTAACAATTTCAGCATTCATTACTGCTTGGTCAATTTCTTAATTGCATTCGATTAAGTATTTATACACTATTCTTTATTCGGGTTACAAGTACTAGCAGACGGTCTAAGGTTTCTACCGAAGAAACTGATGATTGGGTTGTGACAGACGACGTACCTGGCGGGCCATGTGATGGGTCAGTGATTCCTAATTTTCTTGGCCACACTGCTTATCAGTTGTGGAATGGAGAACCAAGAGATTACCTGACGATGAAGCCAGCGAAGAAGAGTTTGTCTAGATTGCATGGATGGTATGCGAGATTGCCGGAGAACGCACAGTTGCAGATTCAGAATACCGGTTTGTATCATCTGATTGATACCATGTATGATGATATTGACCTTGCGCTTATTTCTGCATTCATAGAGAGGTGGCAGCCCGACACAAACTCTTTCCACTTTCCGTTTGGGGAGATGACCATTATGATGCATGATGTGGCACACATTTTGGCGATTCCACTTGATGGTTACTTGTTGACCCAACCTGCGGAAGCTGAGGTTTTGAAGATGCAGGTCGCGGGATTGCTTGGGATGCCGTTGGCTGAGTTAAAGCGTGCATGGAGCCACGGAGGTGTGAGCGACATATTGATTGAGGAGTGTTGTCGCAGGGTCCTCCCCGCTGTTCAGATGCAAGCTTGGGTGTGGATCTTGTTAGCCTCGACACTCTTCCTTGATAGGAGTGGGGGCAGGATCAGTGCTTCGCTTATGACTGAGCTGCACGGAGGTATCGACAATATTGGAGAGTACTCCTGGGGATCCGGTACACTAGCATTCCTCTACCGTCAGCTTGGTATTGCTAGTCGAGCAGGGTGTACCACGATAGCTGGCTGTATGACCCTTCTCCAAGCATGGATATATGAGTATTTTCCATGCTTCCAGCCCTCCAAGAGGCGAGGACGTCGAGGTGTTGATGGTTGGCCCAGAGCCCGAGACTGGACACCAGTTAGCTATAAGGGCCCGAAGCCTATTCATAGTCGTCTCCAGCAGATTCGTACGCAGCTCGACGCGATGATTGAGTAAGAGGTACACTTTATATTTTAATTCTGTGTATTGCGTAAGGGGTAGTTCATTGTGTACACTATAATAAATGTTGGTAACGTTCGCAGGTCGAATGGGAGCCATTTGGTCACGAACAGGCGCCATACATGCCGGAGAGAGTGATACGCCAGCTCGGTTACGTGCAGTACATTCCTCGTGCGCCGCTCACGCCGGTAACTTAGTTTCGCGGGAAAAATGCGCACAAGTATTTAGTTGATCGTCCGATTTCCGAGACATGTAACTGTTGGGTTAGATTTCCGGATTCGGAGTGCATCAACCTCAGTCATTGTGTGCCGGTATCGTCCACTGAGGTAGGACAGGCAGCTGTAGATTACCTCGACTGGTACAAGAGCCATTCACATCCATTTCTACTGCCGGAGTCCGTACCGTCTACATCACGCATCCCAGGGAAGAACTGCACCACTTACATAAGTTCAACTCTAACTGGAATACCCTTTGTTTAATAACACACGTACTATCTTTAAGGGATAATATGGTTTTATTTAACATTTGTAGTGGATGTGTGAGATGGAGAAGTTGACTCGAGGTTGCATCGACGATTTGAAGAAACTCGATTTGGGTCTTGGTGAGGAGTGGGATACTCGCCTGGATGATGTCATCTTCCAGTACAGTCAGGCCCCATGAGATTCTACTCAGTGCTTTTTTCTTTAAACAATTATGTACTGATTCTGTTATTCTGAACAATATGTACTTATGTCGATTTGCAATTTACATTTTAATTTACGTTAAAATATCACCAATTTCATAAAAAAATATATATATACACAACATATCATCCGAGATCACTATATTCCCGTGTGGGTCTTATCTGAGGTACCAAAGTACGCCATAGCTGCAGTCTGGGTTCAAAAGGTTCTTCCCAACCAATAACACTACTATCACGATCATGCCTCTAACTGGGATGAATGGGAGGAATCGGAAAATCACCCTGCAGATTGAGTCGAATGAAGTGCGGGTAAGGCTCAAGGTGGCAAATAACTATCTGAAACTCTGGCCTTGTTGCCCCGCCCCGTGCGCTCAGTGGTAGCACAATCCAACATGTGCCGTTTAGATTTTCAGCACCGTTGGTTCTAAAGTAGTGCACAACAGCATTGAAATATGTAGCAAGGGGATAAAAGTCCTCTGTCGACATCCAGTGACCTGCGGAGGTACCAATCCACCGTATACGCTCTAGGCTTGCAGGTAATTTTTTCCACCTACAAAGACAAGTAAATGAAGGTTTTAAATAAAATAACATTGATGCAACTGTATGAAAACCAATCACCAAAATTAAAATGGCTTCATACCCGTAAAGGTTCCTGTACAGGCCAAGGTTATTTATAACCTCATCATAACATATCTGTCTGCACAAAATTTGATTATCCTGCCCTCCCAACATGCAACTCGCAAAGACGCGGAAACCACAATTGCCGTCAGCCTCGACATCAAGATATGACACAACGTAATTATGGAGTACCTGCGGAATCTTATTCTTGTGCCTAAACTGGAAAAAGTCTGTCTGCATCACATCTTTAACCACGTAAAATAATATCATTATTTCTGAATTACCTATCAGTATTTAAGAACAAAATAAATTATAAACGTACCTCCGACATGGGGTTCGAACCCGACTGTGGCCTCTACTGGGCTGCTGGTGTTCGTCTCACCTTGCCCATTCCATGTACTGCTCTCGCATGGGTCAAGAACAAAAGTGCTTCCAGAAACCAAGTAAAATAATATTTCGCACATTTAAAAGAGAAAGTAATATCGGACCTCTGCTCCGATCTTCGCTCCCGATGTATGGCCTCTCTGGGCCGTGGGTGTTCGTCCCACCTTTACTCGAGGTACCTTGGCTCGTACCTGCTTTACTGGAACCGCTGGTATTGGTGCCACTCTGATTGCCGTCCCTGTATGCCCACACATTTGGTTTGTCTTGCTTTTTTTTAGAGATGCCCCTCTTCTTCGGCCTGCCCTTGCCTCTCTTTCCAACCCGCGGTTCATTTAATCCGGCTTGGCCTGGATGAAGTTTGTTGTACATCAATCTGGTGATCTCGCGCTGTATTGACTCCTCAGCAGCGTCCAATTCTTCCACTAACTGCCTGAACAACAATCTGTGAGGGGGAACATCATCCGAACCATCCTTCTCTGTAACCTCACCGATGTCAAGTGTGCTCCAAAATTGGTGTAAGTATTTTGGAGTCAAAATCTCGCTAGCCTCCATTATACGCTTAAGTATACATGCACAAGGGAGGGAATGAGTTTGTTTCAGGTAATGATTGCATTCCCAATACACATCATCTCCGAGTTGTTGCATCCTTTCCAACTCATTGTTCAATAGATCCAAGCAGTAGTGTGAAACATTGCATCTTAATTGGTAGAAAGGGTACTTGTTGTGTTGCCTCCCTATTTTCTGCCTTGATTCTTGCATTTTCTCTCTGTGGAGGAATTCTAACAAATTAATTAAACAACCTAAATACACAAATTAACTAAAAAGGGGATCAAAATCCAATACCTTATTTGCATAATCTGTGTCTCCAGTAACATGTGAACCCTGTGCCACACCGTTTCAAAAGAAGCATTTGGAATGCAGAGCCATTCCTTTAACAACTTGTGTGTGCTCTCCACTCTACAAGTAGTGGTGTTGCCAAAATGCAAATAAGTGTTGGTCCATGCATGCACAAACTTGTGCGCCACCACTAACCATGTCTTCCTAACATACTCTAGAACGGGCTGAAATTGAGACCAATTATGCTCCAGAAACTGTACTTTTTCTTCGTATACTTCTCGATTTGCAGCTTCGATCACTGCTTTGAAGGCATTATATGCAAAGCTTTTTGCTACATGGGCATTTCCATTCAAAATTCTTTTCACATTTCTTTCAACATCCCTGTAAACATGCCACGTACACAACAAGTGATGTGAGGATGGAAATACATCATCAAGAGGCCTCATCAGTCCAGGCTCCCGATCAGTCACGATGACATTCGGATGCAGATCTTCGCCATACAAGTTACGGAGCTGCCACAGCGCCTAATGGTAGCTATCTCCCGTCTCATCACTCAGAATAGCATATGCTATAAGGAATGTCTGATTGCAAGGGGTCATTCCAACAAACTCCACAAGAGGCAGTTTATATTTGTTTGTGTTGTATGTGGAATCTACACAAACAACCCAAGGATACGTCCGTAACAGCAACAAAGAATCCGGATGTGCAAAAAACACGTGGGATAACCTCTGTGTCTCTTCATCGCACTCCGTGAAGATGATGTATTTGTGTTGTTCTGCGACCTCTAACACCTTTCCCACTACGTCCATGGCAGACAGGTCATCTAAAATTGGAAACTCCGCCATACGCAAAAAATTTCTGTAGTTGTAGACTTGTTTGGAGGTTACCTTTTCATCGGGAAATTGTGTCCATATCGCCTGTAAAATGTGGACTGCCTTAGTCCCAGCTTTGGAGTACTCCTTAATAAGCTCTTTTACTTCTTCACTCAATGGCCTCCTGACTCGAGGTGGATATTTCAATGAATGGTTGTGCATTCCCAACGGACCTGGATATACACGGATCGCCCACCTATCATATGTCTTGTAAATAGTAACACGAAACTGGCATCCGGTCATCTGTGTCTTTGTATTGGCTCGCACGCGCACGTTTTCATCTACCTGTTGACCTTGGTACCGCCCTCCTTTATGACAAAGGAGTATAGTAGTATTATCCTTGTGCGAGGATACACTTAACTCCATATTGTAGAAGTTCGCAATACCCTTCGCATATGCGGCAGCTTCCTTCTTCGTCGCAAAAGTCTCGTCTGTAGCAAAAGCCGGACTATAATCGATTCCATCCCCCTGATCAAACATATCCTGCACACATTAAAAACAAATTATATCATAACTTAAATTAACTCTAACATTGTTAAACCACAAATAATTTGCTATGAGTAAACATTGTTATATAATCCGATATAATGATCTTATACTTTAAAGATAATTAATATATACTAATAACAAATTAAAAATATCATTAATAAAAACTCATTATTTTAACAAAAATCCTAATCCCTAACAGCTATACCCGTTAACTCAGTTAATATAACAGTATACGTAATTAAAAAACATTCTCTAAATATCATAAACCTATTTAGCATAAACCCTAATTTTCTAAACAAATATTAAACTACCAAACAAATACTCAAATAAAATAAATACATGAATTAATTAAATTTATTAAACTAATAATAATAATTATTAAACTCATAAATATAAAATATATTAAAAAATAAAAAAAAATAAAAAAAATAAAAAAAAATGGGTGGCGCCCGTAATAGGGTGGACAAAGGTGGCGCCAGATCTGGCGCCACCGCCTTCGCCATTGGCGAAGGCTGTCTCGCCTCCCTTTACAGGGAGGCAAGTTTATTGCACGCCAATGGCGAAGGAGAACCGCGCCAGCCGTTAAGGGCTGGCGCAGGAGAAGCGCGCCACAAATCCATGACCGTTCCGACACATAACACCTCTCAACCACCCATTTACTCCTTTGAACCATCGATCCCACCCATCCTGCGTTCAGTTACTATTCAAATGCTCAGTCCTGATAAAGCCTTGATTCACCTCCCCACAGCTAACTTTTCTTCTCCTACATTCACCATACCTTCCGCTGAATCCATCCCCACTACCCCTCCTTTGCCACAGAATCCGACCCCTATCAGCTCGACTACTCTTCCGTCGAGTCCATTCATGACCGAGGTTCGATTGAAGTTGACTCCCCATTGAAGCGTGCATTGGGTGTTCGTCATAAACGTTGTCCTGTTACAGGGAGGATACTCAGGTCTTCTGACTCTACTCAGAGAAATATTAGTGGAGTCATACGTTACCTTCAAATTGATGAGATTGAAGTGGATGAACCTACGCATGATAGTGCAAAGAAGTTTAAGGGTCAAGGCAGGCTTGAAACAGCTGATAAGGTGACCACTGCTGATGATTCGAATGTGTATATATCTACGGAGATTGGCGTGTTGCCCCAATCGTCGGGAGTAATGAGTCTCATGGCATGGAATTGTCGGGGGCTTTGGAACCTCCGAATAATTTAAGAAATATGCGATCAGGCTCGCACTAAGTCGCCCCACTTGGTCTTTCTCTCTGAGACCAAGTGTCGTTCTTCTGAGCTCAACCGTCTTAAATACAAGCTAGGCATGAATTGTTTTGCTATTGATTCCGTTGGCAACTCCGGAGGACTTGCTCTCTTATGGAGGAAAGAAATTTCTGTCACTCTTGGAAGCTACTCAAAAAACCATATTGATGTTGATGTTGTTCTTTTATATACTCCGGTTCGTGTTACGGGTATTTATGGAGAACCAGATACCGCTCTAAGGCCCGCGGCATGGAACCGATTCAAAAATCTTAAAGACGATCGACAACTACCATGGATTTGCCTAGGGGACTTCAATGAAGTACTCTCGCAGAAGGAATTTGTAGGAACTCGTCTTCGACCTGAGAGACAGATTCGGGATTTCGGGAAGCTTTGGAGCATTGTGGTCTGCTTGACATGGGTTTTAATGGACATCGCTTCACTTGGGGTCGTCTTTCTGTTAATCCTTTCACTCAGCGGGGTCGCTTGAACAGGGCAATTTGTAACCTGTTATGGTGCGAAACCTTTAAATGGAATTGCGTCTCACATGTCCCAACATATTGATCGGATCATCTCTTTATTCATGTTCAATTTGGGTTGTCTAACCCTGGAAAAAATCATCAGAGAACAAAGAAGCGTTTTCGCTTCGAAGCAGATGTGGATAAAATCTGATGATTGTGCTAAGATTATTGAGCAGCATTGGGACGAAAGTCTTGACTCGATCTCAGATAAAATGCATTCTTGTGCTGTTGGATTACTTAATTGGAGCAGAACCGCGATAGGTAATGTGAAAGAAAAAATTGATTTGGTCAAGAAGGAAATTTTGGAATTGCAACAGGGTAACATTACTACGGCGGTTAAAATTAAACTTTGCACTTTAAAGGAGAGGCTCGAGTTTCTTTTGGACCAAGAAAATCTGAAGTGGAAACAGCGAGCGAAGCATCATTGGTACCATGAAGGAGATCGGAACACGAAATATTTTCATGCCCATGCTACTCGCTGCAAGGAAATAAATCATATTGCAGCTCTAAAAGACCCTCTTGGCAACCTTCAGAGCTCTCATCGGGAGATTGAAACCATT